CACAACCCTCGACTTTCCATTAACTGAAGAAACAAAAACAACACCATCCACGATGCCGAGCCTTAGTGACGCGCTGAACAAGGACTCGCTCAATGATATCGTTATGAAGAGCCCACCTTTGAAAGCCCCGGGTAGGGATGGCATCCAAAACTGGATATGGCAGACCATATGGCCAGTGGTTAAAAGGTGGAGAAACTCCAGCTCCTAAACCGCGGACACTACGGCGGTCAACCAAACAGATCAAGCCATGAAGCTCTAGTACACCTAGTCAGCTACATACGCACCGAATGGACTAAAGGTAACATCGTAGGAGCCATGTTTGCTGATGTTAAGTCAGCGTTCCCGTCAGTTCATCACCCAAGGCTCTTGGACACGATCGAGAAAAAAGGAACACACTCTCGTACCCTCAACATCGTCAATGACTTCCTCTCAGACCGATCAACTAGGCTCTTGTTCAACGGCTTTGAATCAGAACCATTCAAATTATCCCACGGATTACCACAAGGATCACCCTTGTCCCCCCTCTTATATCTTCTTTACAACTCGTCTCTTCTTGATATTGCTAACCAAATAGACTGGGCCGAAGCTTTAGGATTCGTTGACGACGTCATCCTTCTTGCATCAGCACCCGACCAACATCAACTCAGGTCAAAAATGAACACCTTAACATTCAGACAAACAAAGTGGGCTGAGAAACACGGTGCAATCTTCGATACAAAGAAGAGTCACTGGATGATATTCAGCACAAAAAAACCCGACAAAGACACAGCTCCCCCAACCATCAACTTTGGCGCACGGAAAAATATCTCACCACAGGCAAATACAAAATGGCTAGGTATCACATTCGACGGCCAGCTCAATTTCTCACAACACAGACAGGATGTAATCACAAAAGGAAAACAAAGGTCAGGTTTCATTGCATCGCTAGCTAAATCAGAGTGGGGCATCCCACCACACCTGATGAGAACGTTGCTAATAGCCACAGTTCACGCGACGACTGATTATGGTATAGCGGCATGGATGCCACTTGATCCCCCAAAGTACCTCATCAACCACCTCTCAACAATTGACAACACCAGCGCTCGAGCAGCATTAGGGGCTCTCCAAACTACCCCTTGTGTATTCCTTCAACACGACATCAACCTCCTTCGGCCAGAAACCAGATTAAAAGCTAAGCTTATGAACTTCATAGCCAAATCACTTACAAAACCAAGCCATCACCCCCTTTTTCCGATCATCCAACAGGCCCAGGTATCAAAACCACGAACGCACCGCAACATCTATCACCAATTCTTCCAACACAAATTAGGAAAAGAATTTGATGAATTCACAACACAACTACCAGTAAACCCGACTGCAATTCTCATCAGACCTCCCAGATTATCAATGATTATCCAAGACATCGAAAAGGTAGCTATCTTAGGAACGAAGAAACTCAAACCCTCAAACGAACACCTCGTCATTTACACAGACGGCTCTCGCATTCCAACCAAAAACACCGCAGCTGCTGCTTGGTGCGAAAATACTAATAAATCTATTGCACAACACCTAGGTAAGGCTAGACTCCACGGAATCTATCAGGCCGAATACAAAGGAGTCCAATTAGGTCTTACAATCGCCATGCGCGAATCAACTCAAGATACTAGAAGAATCACAATTATTCTGGACAATCAGTCAGTAATTAAAGATCTCAGTAGCTGCCCTCTATCAATCGCGTCACTACTCGACCGGAAGGAGACCTTCAAGATCATCAACTACATAGCAGCATCATTCCCAAACGCAAGAATTACAATCCGTTGGTGCCCAGGACACTGTGGTGTACGAGGTAACAAAACAGTGGACAAAATCGCTAACAGCTTGGCAAAAAGAGAATTGCCAAGCACATTCACATCCACGCCCTCTCTTGCAGGTTTTACATCAGCAATCAAGGAGTGGTCGAAAGCAGACGAAAACAACTTTACCAATAACGAAATCAAGAGATTAGGCCATAAACCTTCTCAAAAACAACACCTTAAGGCTCTCAGTGAACTACGAAAACATGAATGCACGGCAATCACACAACTTAGATCTAATCATATATATCTTAACTCATATCTATTTAAGCACCAACAGTGATTCGACCCCCTCTGCGAATGCGGAGGAGGGGTTGAAACCATTGACCATTTCTTGTTCATATGTAACAGGTACGAGAAACAACGAAAGAAGCTAATCAACGCGATAAACAAACTCCAACTCTCAGAATCATCAGACATCACCAAAAACCCGAAAGCATTTGGATGCATAGCCAAATACTCCAACTCGACCTGGCGGTTCAAGAATCGTTGGGTGTGGGCAACCATCACCAAAGAGGAAACCCCTCAAAATCTCCAAACCCCATCCATATAACATCCTTCCTACATTGTCTTGTCAAACACCTTCCTTTAGCGCCACCATCTGTATCTAAACAAAAACACTTGTAATACTTTAAACAGCCAGCACGTGACCTTTTCCCCACTGGGGTTTTTACTGGAGCGGAGCACAAGTAGTTAAGTGCCTGATAGCCTTCGGCTCAGGAGGCACTCTAAACAATGAAATAAAATAAAAAAAAAAAAAAATGTATGCCCTTCCTGGGAAGAAGTTTTTGATGTGCAGGAATTACCTACCTTGAAATAACACCCAATGAGATTGATCCATTGTCAAAAACTCAAGACACATCTTTGTACATCTGATCTAGGTCAGGTTGAAACTTTGTTTTGTTGATTGCAGATCTTCTCAAAGTTCATATTACCACTTCACAAGACATTATCAATTATGACTGAAAGTATCAACAATACAGCATCCTCTTCTGGCCCAGGTTCAACACCTGTTTCTTTAAAAGCTTTGGTAAAATTGAAATTTGTCTCTCTTTTCCAACATTGTCTTGACCAATCACATTTCAAGCCAATTAAATCAATTCAAGACTGACTGATTAAACTTGTTTTAATTGGTCATTGATTTTCCTTTCCCCTTGAAAAAATCTCCTTGAGCCTCTTGCAAGAGCAAAAGGACTGCTTGAGTTTTGTTCAAAAAGCAAAGTTGTTGATTTTGGAATTCTGAACACTTTGCTCTCCTGAGATTTTGTGTAGGGTCTCAACTACAGAAAATAACAGGCTGTATATTTCATTTATCCAAGCAAGTCTTCTCTGGTTGCTGCTGGCACACCAGAACCAGCTGATAATTTGCAAGTCCCTCTCCAGGGCACCAAGCTTGCAAAGGTAGGAAATCTCTGTGCAAATTTGGGACTTGTGTTAAGTTAGTTTCTTTCTAATTTGAAAAAAAGGTTATGAAAAAAAGATTTCTTTTACCCTTCAAGATATCTTTGAATGTTGTCAGCCAAAGACCGGGGGCTAACAATGTCACATGTAATACTTTAATAGGGGTATTCAAAACTTGTGTTTTTTGTCCCAGGAGTGACCAGAAGTGACATCCAGAAACTCCGGCTGGGCCCTAAACCCAAGGCCCCCAAACCATTGGAGCAAGGGTTTGGTCAGGCCTTTCGGGCCCCTGAAGAGTACAGGGGTGTGGGCAAATGCATGTAACACCCAACTTAAGGCAGTCCAGTGTGGGTTTGGGGGGGCTCCTGGAAGCCGGGTTTGCAGAGGTTCAGGATTGGGTTTAGGCCATTACCCATGTTTTTTGGGTTGGGGATCAGCTTGACCAGAAACTTCTGGGACACTTTCAAAATTTTCTTGGATTTGAACACAAACTTGGAAACTTCATGTTACATACACACCCGCATGACTGACTCTACAGAACCAATCTTTCTGCACCTAGGATCCACTCAATCCACTCACATGGCACATATGCCCTTGAGATTTCTTTCACTTGAAAATTTGAGATACATTATTTACAACTGAGATATCTTACACAAACCTCAAGCTCCACCAAATACAATGTATTCATTGACCTCTTTGAACCTCAAACTTTTTTTTTGTATCAGAATCAATGTACAAGTGATGAAATCATGCAATTGATTAGGGGATACGAAGGATAAGTTTGGGGTTCAAGGAGGTTCATGAAAACATTGTATTTGGTGGAGCTTGAGGTTTGTGTTAGATATTTCAGTTGTAAATAAAGTATCTCAAATTTTTCAGTGAAA